TATGTCAAAGAAATTTTTCTTTTATATTCTTGCTTTGCTAGTGTTTTGCTTTTTTGTTGCTGCTGTGTTTTTTGGTTTTTGTTTTAATCTATTAATTTTACTGTATCCTCTGCATTTTAAAATGAGTTTGGAAATAGTTTTTGGCCTGAATAGTTTTGATAATAATATGGTTTGATTTTTCTTTGGTGTACTCCCCTTTATTCTACTACCTACATGCATTGCTGTTGGGTTGATTTTGATTCACAGCACTCCTGCAGGACAGAGCAGATATGCTCCATATGGTTTCTAAGGTTGTAACATGTAAGGAAGCAGATTGCCACACCTTTATCCTGAGTAAATGCTGGTGGGTTCAAACCATTGACTTGGTTAGTAGTCGAGTGCTTACCCATTGCACCACCAGGATTCCTTCCTTCTTCCAACTCCCCTCAATTATTGCCATTCAGCCAGTTAACATTCTCTCTTTCCTCACACACTCTCACCCAGTTTAGGCCTAAATAGCACAATTTCATTTAAAAGTGGAAATTAAATTTAAAGTGGGATTTCACCTATTTCATTTCCATTGATCACATCAAATAGATATTCTGCCAACATCCAATTTACTTTGTTCTTTGCAGACAAAAATGTAAACAATGCAACTTTAAGGTCACAGTTAGCTGATGTCACTAAAGGAAAAAACAAATCCTTTTAGTTATGTTTCATTTTCTCTTTACCAGAAATGCAAAGCATGTTCCAATGTAGACTGAGCTTGAGCGTCCCCACACAGCAATGTCCAAAAACTAGTCCTCTATCAGTTGTGGAAGGGCAGCTTAGGCTGCCTGGAGGCCAGGGAGCCCAGCATGGAACAATAGCAGGAAAATAGAGTTCCCTTCTTTCCGTAATTCACATGCAAGTGAGGTGTCAATCAAGTGCTGACAAGCATGGAAAAACTAAAATCAAAAGTGGGTAGAGCACACTTTCAAAAGTAGTTGATGTTTGTGAACATACCACTATTAGCATGGAAAAGGAAATAAAAGTAATACGAAAATGCTAATATTTTATTAGCTGAGATGAGTTAACGAACTAGAGCTATTTGTATACAAAACTTGTTTCATATGTTTCATGAAAAATAGGAAGACTCTCACTTTGGTCAGTGAAATAAATCTGAATGCAAATTGATTTACTGGGTACAACAAACATAGATGGTAATGTGAGCTGAGATTGGAAACTGAGCATTGACAAGGAACGTCAATTCATTTCCAAATAAGAAAAAAATTTAAGGCTATTTGGTTTTCTCAAACTGATCATCACCTGGAAAGACAAGAGCAAAGAACCCTGAAATGGCCAACAATAAAAGCAATGGAATCATGTCATCAAAGTGCCTAGACAAGAAGTGGCAGAAAAAGCTAAGAAACAGCATTGTTTTCTAATGATAGTTAATTTCCAATATATGAGCCTGAATTATTAACAATTTAGAAAAGGAAAAAATAAGCTGTATTATTTGTAGATGTCTTTCCAAAGCAATTTAGTAAATATATTCTAAATATGGCTACTAATTTTATTAAGTATCAAGCACTTTCTAAGACAGCAATTCCAGTAATCTTAAACAGTGGTTTGATAATAGAACTAGTTATATACTGGTATTATTATTATTTTAATGTTTTATTGTGAATTATATGATAGTTTATATGGGAGAACATTAGTTTTACATTCATTCTATCGTATATCGTTTCATTGCCATGGCATACTGGTATTATTTTAATACACAGAAAAATAACAAAGAATACACGTTTCTTGCAAAAATTTATTATAAGTTCATAAAATAAATAGTGCTCTTTATTCTTTAATAACTAAAGGTTAGAAACGCTATGAGCATTGTCTTATCAACAGATAGTTTACTAGGAGCAAAGGAATTTTAGGGTTCAAAATTTGAGTAGCTGTGATACAATGAAAATAAGAACACAATAATCCTATTTTTTGTATTATCTTTTCCAATTAGTATAATATATTGTATAATATTTCACGAGTCTAGACATGACCGAGTTCCAAGATTTACTACCAGAAAATGAACATTGGTTTTGAAAATAAATCTCTGACTATAATGTATTCTTCCAGGAGAAACTCAACACTTTAAGATAGCAGCTAATCATAAATTATATTCTCAGTTTTAAAAAACAACAATTAGCAAAATGTAAAAGCTCTACTACTGTTTTATGCCCAGAATTTAAAAGTAATTTATCTTCAGACATATATTAGCAGCACATTTAATTTTAAGCTATGACTCTACACAACTAAAATTTAGCAAATGGTAAATGTAAATGCATTTCTAAATGTGTCCTAATTGGTACCTATAATTCAAGCGTAAGTAGTATAAAAAAATTATATTTATTGGTAAAACTGAGCTTGCCATATAGCTTATATTTAAAATATGTTCTCTTGAAATTCATGACATAGAAAACAAAAATGTTAATTGTATGATGAGAAACAATTTTCAAGCATTCAAATATGATGCGACAAATTAAGACTACTCTGTAAAAAGTGTATTCATGTATGTGTATGTGTAGAGTCTCTAATCAGGAGTAAACATTTAAAAGTCAATTAAAAGAAATGAAAGCCTACTGAAATACAAAGGATTTAATGTCTGATGTGTATAATGTACTATTGAGACTAAAAATAAAATAAAATTTAAGATTTATATATCAATATTCACAATTCACTTTCTTATAAAGTTATATTAAATTTTTGAATTAATGTTATTAACTCAAAGATAACTTTATATATTATACTTATGTAGAAAAATCCTGAATGGATGAATTTTCTCCAACATTTTAAGAACAATGACCTTCCCCCTAACAATACTGGGGAGAATAGAAATGAATATTATTCAGTTTGTGGTAAAAGCATAAATTTTAAAAACCATTTAAACTTTGTCACTGTTTTTTTTTTAGCCTATTTTTAAAGCCCTTATAAATGGAAGATAAATCTAATGGCTTTAAATACGTTAACCAAGCTTTGTAAAATATTACCATAAAACTATTCAGTGTACAATGTTATTTGTTTATAGGAATGACTCTTCAGTTGCTACCATCTCTATACTTGGATCCTAGTTCAGCAAAAAACTAGTCAATATGTAAAGTTGAAACAAGTGCCATTAATATTTTAAAACATAAACAAGGTATATTACATTAAATAGACTTCTCAGCCTGGTGTTGCCTGACAGATATGTGATGTGCCAGTGGTTATATTATATTCCTCCTCCCATGCATGCACCTCCTGCAGAGATAGCAGACTACAGAAGCTGACCCTTACTGAGACCATCTTGTCTCTCTGACAAAGCTCCTTTTTAACTTCTTACTTACTGGTTACTTCCTGTGATGGAGAAAAACTTTAGCTCAGCTTGTGATAATTTCACAGGCCCTGAGGACCCTGACCCTAATAGCCTCAAGGTCAGAAGTCAAGTCTTGTTCTGAAACATCTGTGTGCTTTATATTAAAGTGGAACAAAAGTGGAGAAATATCCACCAGTGTGTGACAAGAAGGACAGGCAAAATAGGGCTGACACACTGGTCATCTGTTACCCTGACATTCTAAGTCAATTTTTTAAATGGTCCAAATTTTACTTACATTCCAAATTTGGTATAAAAAGATTTTATAAAATTTCAAAGTAAAACATGGGAATCTGTGTTGTAGGGAAATCTGAAATTTGTCTGGTCTTATAAGCTCTTAGATATATTTTAAGTTACTCTCTAAGTCAATGAAATTTCACATTGAAAGTTATTCAGTAGCTTATAGAGGAAAATTTAAGCTATATAAATCAATCATGGTTGAAAATCATGATTTGAAGGACAAGATTTATCTTTTAAAAATAAAGTCATATCATGTATTAAAGAACCTTTAAAAATATTCAATTGTATAGTAAAATAAATTGAGTTAAAAGTACTTGAAAATAATTCCTACAAGCTGAAATCAATTTTAAAAAATAAACACCTGAACTTATTTATTAAACCTAAGATAGAAAAAGTATTTGTAGACTGGGGACAGCTTGAATATACTCAGGTGTCAGGTGTCATTGCCAGTTTTATACCTAAACCAAGTGAGTAAGCAATAAGATGTAGGGAGGTTGAAAGGACTGTAGAAATATATTTAATTTCAAAGACAAAGGGAAATACACACCAAGTCTAGATGCATAAAAATTAGAAAACCCATGTTGTGCCTGCTTTTGAAGTTCACTTTGGTCTATTTTGAGTTAAGATGACCATAAGCATTTTTATAAATCCACTCATTTCATGATAGCATCATCACTATCCTGTGATATAAGAGGTTATGGATATAGAGGCATGAATTCCTCATTAGTGCATTTTTAGTACTGATTAGATCACAGAAACTATTCATACTGACATAAGACTGAGGTTCTTGTACTATTACAGTACATTCAGAAAATTCAAAATGTGCAAGATTCAGAAATGTTGATAATTTTTATATCAAGTACACACAATCTTCACTCTAAGAATCAGATTATTTGAAGTGCAAGGATTTTTGTTGTTGTTGTTCAAGCAACAAATTCCAGTTAGAAACAGATGAATGGAAGCTTTCCAATCATTTTAATACTACTTGTATATGTCAAGTACTAACCTATAAAGAGTGAGTTGAATATTACCAAAAGAGCCTCAAATACTCAAAGACTCTCTTGCCTTTTTAAGCACTTTACAGATAATATATGAAGATGCTTCAAAAAGTGAACATGAAGTTGAAAGACAAAGGGATTTTTTTCATGAATGTTTTGAAGCCTCTTTGTATGCTTCAATGATATATACAAAGAACATGAAACATAAATATCAAAATATAAGGAAACTGGGGCTATAATATAGAAATTAAAAAGGATATGCATGTTGTTTTATGACAGAGCTTTTCAGTGTTAACTTAAAAGCATTTTTCCATTTTAATTTTTGATATCCTCATTAATTTGCATATCATGAGGTTGTTAAGGAGACTGGAAATTAAAAATAAAGTTAAATGTATATTTACCAGTTCAACAAAAGCAAGTCCTCCATAACTGTGAGCAACAAAAAACACATCCTCAGCCGCAGACTGGGCTATGAAATGGTCCCACACATAAACTGCATGTTCTTCAGGAGAACCATTTTCCTATAAAGAAAAAATAATAATATATTATATACTGTATCTAATTATTACCAACATCATAATTCAAACGCATCGATACTTCTGAAGTCTTCCTTGTTCATTATGTAACTTTCACATGCATATGAGGCAATTAAAAAAACCAAGGCTTCAATCAGACAAGATTTAGTCCACAAAATGACATCTTTGCTCATTAACAGTTTAGAGAGTTCTCAAACAGATTTGCCCAATGCAGAAAGTTGGATTTTATGACGGCTGCTTCCATGAGCATTGATTGTGGATTCAAGAAAATGAAATACTTGACAACTTCAATTTGTTCTCCATTTATCATGATGCTGTTTACTGGTCCACTTGTGAGGACTGTTTTCTTTTACAATGAGTTGTAATCCGACCGAATGGATATCTCTGTTTTCAGCCAAGATCCATCTAATGTCAGCAATGATATTCCTTGTACCATGCCTTCTTTTTGGTCCAACTTGAATTTCTGGCAGCTTCCTGTTGAAGTGCTGCTGCAACTGTTTTTCAATTATCTTCAGTAAAATTTTACTTGCATGTAACATTAAATGATATTTTTCAATAATTTCCACATTTTGTTGCATCACTTTTGTTGGAGTAGGTACAAATATAGATTTTTTTGAGTTGTCTGGCAAGGTAGCTATTTTTCAAATTTCTAAGCATAGACTAGTAGTGCTTTCAGCACTGCATAAATTTGTTGAAATATTACAATTGATATACTGTCAATTCCTGGAGCCTTGTCCTTCACTAATGTATTCAGTACATCTTGGAATTCTTCCTTAAATACCACCAGTTCTTCATCATATACTGCCTCCTAAAGTGCTTCTGATCGTGTACTTCCTTTTTAGTTTTCTTATTCCAAATCTTTGCACATTTTGTTATATTTAGCTTTATCTTATCGAGCTGACCTTTGAAATTTTCTGTTCAGGTCTTGTACCTCCTCATTTCTTCCATTTGCTTTAGCATCTCTACACAGGAAGCACGTTTCAGTGTCTCTTCTGACATCCATTTTGACCCTTTCCTTCTTTCTTGTCTTCTTAATGACTTTTTGCTTTCTTCATGTATGATGTCCTTGATGTCAACCCAACACAATCAGAATTACTTAAGCTGGAGAACTGAAGAAAATATTCAAGCCTTGACTTTCATTATTGAAGGCTTCTCTTGGAAAAGTATTAAATGATGCAGATAGCATCAAGAGAAGATGGAAGGAATACATAGAGTCACTGTACCAAAAGGAAATGGTTAATGTTCAACCATTTCATGAGGCAGCATATGATCAAGAGCCAATGATACTGAAGGAGGAAGTCCAAGGTGTATTGAAGGAATTGTCAAAGAATAAGGCACCAGGAATTGATGGAATGAAAATTGAAATCTTTCAAGAAAGTGAGGCAGCACAGGAGGC